TCCCAATTGAGTATCTGTCTGGATGAATCTAGTATGTCAGGAGTATGTATCTGTCCCATGCTCCCGTGTCGGCTCTGCACTCCCAGCATCAGCCTTGGAGAATCTCAGGATTCCTTAATTGCCTACTCTAATGAGATCTCAGGCCTGAGGTGTAGTCTTATGGGTCATGGGACTTGTTCTGGAATATTGAAAGAAGTTTCACCAGGTGTTCAAATTTCAGATTTTTGTCTATGGGCCTAGGACTTCAAAATTTTTGTTTTATCTATGTATGTGCATTATATTGGTATAAACAACATCCAAAGCTGCCTCTGTTTTTGGTGCTGCCTTAGCATACAGAGTACCATGAGGTTAAGCATTGCTAATATGTCCCAGGCTCCAGATCTCATAATCAGCCTAATCAGGCTAGCTGTGCCTTGCAACAATTTAGGAGAATCTTATCTTGCCAAGTTTGGTATTGGCAGCTGGAGACAGCCCATAGGAAAATACCAGTGAAGAAGGCTTCTCAGAAAACCATGAAAAATACATTCATGGGAGTGTCCTGAGCTATCTGGAGATGGAAATTTTGCATTGACATGTTTTTTTTTTTTTCCCTCTAGGAAAAAAACAATTTTGTAAAAAAAAAATTCTCATGGCGAAATTTTTATTTTCAATTTCTTGTTTTCTGGATGACAGCCACAAATTCCAGAATTGGAAATCTGCCTTTGAACTAAGTAAGGAAGCTGTATGTGTGGACACCCAGCTGTTGACCTGCGTCTGTTAGATTTAATATATTTTCGTAGTCAGTAGGGGAAGCGTCAAACCTGATACATCAAAATAATATACATGCCCAGATTACAATGTACAGTCTTTACCGGATGTCTGATAACAATCTTCCCAATTCATTTGGTCCAATGCTTTAAACTTAAAACAAATTAAGCAAAACCTTAGTCTTTTGTCACTGAAGACCACAAATTGCGTCTTATCACTATCTGAAAATGGAAATTGTATATGCGTCTGTGTGTGGTCTATCCCCTATTCACCAACTTCCTCTCTATGGAGATACTTTTTCTGATTAGGTTTAAGTAGGAGGAAAACCTTGTGTGTGGCATTGGCAATTTTACTAACTGACTGAATGACTTGTGGGCTTGTGGGCATGGATTTACCTGAACTTCAGCTTCTGGGACATTTTTTAGGAAACTGTTTGTTGCAAAAAACTCACCATACTAACATTTTTATGTCTGCTACTGTCTCCATCAGTTCTTGTTTAGAATCCTTATGTGCTGTCTACTCCTCAACCTTGACTTAAGGATTT